GAGAGGAGCCAGATCTGGTATATACTACCCTGGGCATGAACTAAAGTTTAGAGTTAAGTAACCTCCAAGAACCTAATTGGAATTGATCTTTTTTTAGAGCCTTAACTCGAATTGAACACATGCATCTTGTCTCTTTGGAGTCCCGAAAATTTTTAATGTCTACAATCTACACATATCTATTACAAAAAGTGAATTTAATTTTTTTATTTTTAAAATAAATTTGTTATATTTTTAAAAATTATACATTCAATTTTTGTTTATTTATAGTACGGCCATTATTATTTATGGTTTATTAAAGCTAAATATAAATTTTACTTCTTTGAATTGAAGTAGTTATTGTAAATAGATTAGAGTTTAATTACATTTTATTACTAATTAAATAGATAAGTAAATATTTTTACCAAATTATTTTGTATCTAATAGTTTTGCATTGTAACTAAGTAATTAGAAGTTTAAAACTAGAAACCAAGCTACTCACATTTTGTTAGAATGTTGGCATGATATTGCTTTGTACTCCCCTGTCTCAAAAAGTTTATCACAATTCACATGGACATACTAGATATGAAATAATGTGTAAGACAATGTTAAAGTACCTTCTAACGTTTTACTACAATTTGTGTAATCATAGCCTCTCATCAGTTGCGGAATCAGAAGTAGTCTCTCATATAAAAGCATGTGTCGATAAGTTGAAGTTGTGTCATATCATGTCAGATTAGTCTTCAATCTACATTTACCTCTTACAAACCATCTACAGTAAACCTCTCAAACCTTCGCACATCACATCTGTACATCTCCTCTTCATATGTCCGAACCATCTCAGACTCGCTTCTACCACTTTGTCCCCCACTAAAGTCACTCCTGCCTTAACTCATAGTCTCAAATATCTTCAATTTTAATCTGATCTCTTTCCTAATCATTAACTTGATTTCTCAATTACACAAGGATAACCCACCTTAAAAGGGTAATAACGTCAATTACGATTATAATACATTAAATAAGTCATGCCCCATCCATAAGGTTATTAGCCCTACCTTATTAGCTGCTTTTATTGCTACCACTAACATTTCCCAATGCTCATAATGTCACCCAAAAAAAGAAAGAAGTTTGTCAAAAAGCTTCATAATCTATTTGGAAGTACTAATTGGTGTATTGAATAATCTTACAAATTTAATATTAGTCTATATCAAAAATACACTATTGTTTTTATTCATCCTTCTAGCATATAAAAAAACATGTTTCTCTTCCCTTTATATTTTAACTTCAATATTAATTATTTATCCTTCAAATTATTTTTAATATATGTGAATATTATAATAAATACTTATGTCGCTTATTATTATTTTTTAAATCTAAAATTAAAGTTTTAACAAATATAATTATTATAATAAATGCGTATGTAATTTATTTCTTAAGAAATTATAAAGTTTAAATTAGACGAATAAAAGTGAATGATTAGCAATAGGCAAACAAGTAAAATTTGTACTGAAAATTCATTCCAAAATGCAAAATAAATTTGGGCTATATGTCGAGAACGAATTTTTGTTTAGTAAACATAAAAATAAAATAATAATGATAATAAAAGAACTCCATCCCAATTGGATTTTTTTGGTTGCTAATGCATGTGATTTAACCAATAATGGCCTCTACAATATATAAAAAGAAAAAGTACTGATTCATGAATCTGAACCATCCAGAGCTAACTTAAATATATTCTTACACCAGAATAAATTAAGTTTTAATTCTCGAGTTACGAAATAAAACAATTTAAAACCAATTACTCCCCGATCTCTTTTTACTTGTCCATTTTTAAATAATATAACTATTAAGAAAATAATTAATGACGTAGTGAGTTTATTATTTTACCCTATAACCTATACAGTGGATAAAATTTTTATATGTTTCAAAGTAATTAGTCATTAACTTGTGGGTATAATAGGTAAAGAAATTGTCCCTTCTTGATTTATCAAAATGGACAAGTAATTAGAGACAACTATAAAAGAAAAAATGGACAAGTAATTAGGGACGAAGGTAGTATTAGTTGTGTCATGGAGAATAATGTTTTATTCTACCCAATAAAAAAAAAGTATTTTCTACCTAATTATTTGTCCACTTTTAAATTGACACGTCTATTAAGTAAACATGATTTACAATGAATTTATCATTTTATCCTTATAATTAAAAATTTAAGATTTTCAAAACGTTCTACCTTTTTCAAAATTAATTAATTGAGGATAGGATAAGTAAAAAAATATATTTCTTTTTTAATTTGTCAAAATGAACAAGTGATTAGAAGAAAATGAACTTTTTCTGTTGATGTCGTGTACGGTAGGACCTAAATATAATATTTGTACATATGAATGTATTTTCTTAGCGCAAATATTATTAAGTGCAATCAAATTTGTGTTAGTTATTCATTTATAATATATAGTCACCTAACTAGGAAAGAAACAAATATATATATATATATATATATGTAAAATAAGTGAGATAAGCTTATAATATTAGTGCTTCATTCCCCAATGTGAAGCCAAAGTTTCAGTTTCATGGACTTACAAGCCAAGCAAACTTTTGTGTTACTTCAACCAGCTATAAATTTGCCATTACCCTGCTATTGTGTTGGATAAATAAAAATATAGAATATATTCTACATTTAATTTGCTAATAATTGAGGTGAGACTCCATTTATTTTTGTTACAAACTTTCATTCTTCTAAACCTTTATTTGTTTAAGGGAAAAAGAACACGACTTGGCTTGCCTATTTTCTTTTAATTCCAGGATTTCTCTGAATTTAAAAGATAATCGTTTCGCAAGTTTTTACATCAAGGCTTAGTTCCCATTTTTCTGAATCTTTATTTGTTTTCGGGAAAATAGAATTTAACTCCAGATTTCCACCGTCTTAGTAGCTCAGTTGGTTTATTACGTGAATTTCCATGACTTTTTAATGAAAAAAATGTGATTCCCTAATTCCACCCCCCTTCGTAAGCCATTATTTTGTAACTATCGAAGAATGAAAAAGTCTCACGTTGATAATTAACGAAAATGGGTGATCTCCTTAGATGAAGTGGGATAAAACTCTCCTCAAAAGCTAGATTTTGGAATTGAGTTAAGCCCAAAATTCATTTCTTTACGGTAACAGTCCTTTATTTGTTCTCGAAGAACAGGATTTGATCCAGGATTGCCCTGCCAATTACCTATAGCAAAGCTCAACCCTGTTCATAGTGAATCAGAAGCAATGGTGATGGACTTTTTGGTGACTACAAAGGGATCAGGAGGAGGCAATTTCATAACACCATTAGGACAAACTCCAACTGGTAGTGTGCTTGATCTGTCAGTCATAGACAGTTTAGCTGTTCTTCGATGCAATGCTCGTACACTACACGTCTTTAAAGGAGGAAACTCTACTGTTATTCGAGAGGCATTTGGAAAAGCTTTGGTTCCTTATTACCCGCTAGCAGGTCGTCTAAAATTCTCAGCACACAATAACCAGTTGCTTCAGATTGATTGTTCAGGTCAGGGAATTTGGTTTGTTGAGGCTTCTGCTGATTGTACTCTCCTAGATGTCAACTACTTCGATGAAGCTTCAGCTTTAGATGACACTACTTTTGACAAACTTCTACCTCAACTAACTCCACTTCCTGTTAGTAATGATTCTTTCAGTGACCCACCACTGGTACTTGTGCAGGTAAACAACTAGCTATATATATGTTCAGAGAGAACTAGATGATAAAATAGTTAACGATACGATTGTCATTGACATGATCATGCACAGGTAACTGAATTTAAGTGCGGTGGATATGTTATGGGACTTACTTTCTGTCACAGTATATGTGATGGACTGGGTGCTGCACAGTTTTTGAAAGCAGTGGGTGAGTTTGCTAGGGGAGTTGAGAAACTGAGTGTTGCACCAGTGTGGTGCAGGGAACTTCTCCTTCCACTTCCACAAAAAGGAGTTGCAGAAGACAACTCGTCAATGCCACCACCACCACTCACTATTCCAGTACCAGATCAGCGGCTGGAGCATGCTAGTTTCGACATTCCCCTGGATGAGATCAATCAGCTAAAACATGAAGTGATACAAGAGTTAAACATGGATCAAAATGTGTTTTGTTCCTCTTTTGAGATTATAGCTGCTACTTTGTGGAGGCACCGAACCCGGGCAATTTTGAATATAACAGATGATAAGAAGACCTCGTCGAATACAAGCTTTATTCCTGCAGATGATGCAGGTCAGTAGAAGAGTTACAACCATCTGAGGATGGCCAATTGACCCCCTCATCGAATGATAATACTCTATATACATAATTTTGAATACTCTTAAGTGAAATTCGTGATTTTTCCACTAATGCAGGTGATGAAGAAGTGAAACTCGTGTTCTTTGCTAATTGTCGACAACTAGTGCCGCTACCAGAAGGGTTCTATGGGAACTGTTTCTTCCCAGTGACTGTAACGGCTTCAAACAAAGTAGTGGCGGAAGCATCTCTTGCTGAGGTAGTGAAGCTGATCAAAGATGCCAAGGCTGACCTACCAGCAGAATTTTCACAATGGCTCAATAACAAGACTAACAAACCTACGAATGATGATCAATTCAACGATCCATTTGCACCAGGACAAGGAGTAGGTTACAACACATTGTTTGTCTCGGAGTGGGGACGATTGGGTTTTAATGAGGTTGATTATGGATGGGGCAAACCTGTGCATGTTATACCAGTACAAGGGTCTGCTGTGATACCTGTAGGCATTGTTAGCAAACAGCCTTTGCCTAAAACTGGCATTAGGCTCATGACTTGGTGCGTCCACAGCCACCATCTTCATACATTTCTCAACATGATGATGCTCTAACTAATTAATGTCTCTCCTGCTATCAAAAAGTGTATTCATTAATTTGTGTGATTCTGTTAATATATATATTTGTTGCCTGTGTGACTTCTGATACATTTTTTACAAATATAAATGTGTCAAATTATGTCCCCAATATAGCCCCTCCGTAAAGCAGCACAACCTAGGCAACCCCAAATTTCTTAATAACACCAGATACTTTAATTGTTTTGTTCAAAGAAGTAAACAAAATCCTACCCTAACTCATTGATTTCACCCATGCTCCAAAGAAGCAAAACTTAGCCGAGGATGACTGCACTATTTAAACCATACTTACTACTACAAAAAATATACCAGATAACTCTATCCACCAAGGCTAGAACAGATGGGAAGAATCACCTAGTGTTTTCTGATGACCGTGGTGTCTGGGCCACCTACAAAAATCATGTTATCTTCTACAGAAATTTAATATTATACGTGCTTGAAGAAAACAGTTTGTGTCTGTGCTAGAACACATAAAAGATGATGTGACAGTGAGTTTGTTTGGTTTTAGTTCCTCTCTAGATGTGGTTTTAACCAAGGGAAATTCTCAGTAATATATGAACATGCCAGTCAATCATCATCACTTTCATCACTATATGAAACCAAACCACCTATTGTAACAGGTCCGTGGTTGTCAGCATTAGCAATAGGTCTTTTTGTTAATCTCTGGGATTCTTCTGTTTCAGATGTGGATACGTTATCAACATCTGATGAGGTAGCTGTTGTCAAAGAAGATACGGAAGATACCAGATCCATCTTAGCTTTCTTAGCTTGTGGTTTGATTTTGACAATCATTCCCAATGGATTAGCTGGAGGATTCTTCCTCTTAATTAATTTCGGCTCCTGCATCAACCAACAATGCAATGCGTTACATCTTGCCAAATGTTGTTTATTAATGATATTGATATACACCACACGAAATTCATCATTAATTATATTGGCATGTAACAAGTACTCCCCTTCCCCTTCCCCTTCCCCTTCCCCTTCCCCTTCCCTTATAAAATTGCACAGTTAAGAGTAGAATGACTCAGAAGGCCATTTGTTTATTGTATAAGACAGGAACCCTATGCCCACAGGAAAATGTGAAATACGGAAGATATCCAGCAAAACATACCATTCATCTAAAATTGGAAACTTACTATTGATATCACAGATAGAAGTTTCAGATTCTAAATATAATAAACTGAATCTTGAATAGTTGACAAGAAGGGGTTGCTCAGATGGTAAGCTTTCTTCCACCTGACCCTAAGGTAGAGGGTTCGAGTCACTAAGGGAGCAAAAAGAAAAAGGGAGCTCCAAGGCAGCAGCAAGAAACGGAATATTGAATAGTTTGATACTTTTCAAGTTCCCGCTAGTAAATTAATAGTTGTTGCAGCATGTCATTTTAGCCTACCTCCTAGTTGTCACTTGCCAGCCAACAATTCCTCTTTTTTTTTCTTTTCTTTTTTTTTTTTTTGGGGGGGGGGGGGGATTTCCTTCTTTTTCATTATTGTTATTTTTATTGGGGAATTTCCTCTTCTTTACACTGAGTAATCAGCTTTATCATGGGTAAAATTACTGATTCCTTTTATTAAAAAGTTTGGTTGGGGAATTTATCTCCCTTCTGAATTTACTTACTCCTTGGTGCTAATTTTACTTGAGTTTTTTGGTGTGAATACAATGTTACCTTATCAAAAAAATAAATAAATAGAAATTATCACTTATCACTTGTACTTGATCAATTTCAATTCCAAGATATTGACAGAAACACTAAAAAAGATGTGCACAAGCATTAAATAGCATTCGAAGACGGATAATGGATGCATCTTTGATCACCAACAACTGTGAGGAGTACTAGTTCGAGGGATTAAATACCAGGAGTTCTACGTGAATTGGAGAAGCATATGACCATGTTAATTGTAACTTAACTAAGTCTTGAAGGATATGGATTTGGGGAGGAAAGAACTAAATGGATGTTATTCTGCATCAGCATTGTAAGGTTTTCTGTACTTATTAATGGATCTTTTGTTTTAGGAAGGAAACAGTTAAATTTCTATTAAACAAGACTTAGATACCCACAAAAAGTGCTAAGTTGAAATCTTTACAAAAACAACAAAAAGGTACAAAAGACCACCGTCTTAAAAACGATCACAGCCAATTAAATCAACTAAGTCACCTACTTCCCCTCATATTTTGTTTATACCAAAAAAAGAGCAGACTAAGACAATTTATCCTAATTTTATGGATAGAACTGCTAGTGCCTTCAAAAATCTGGAATTCCTTTCTTCCACACACCCCACCAGATGCAAGCAGGAATGATCTTCCACCTAATCCCTGAGGCACTGGTTAGGCGATGAGACACATGCCCTGAGGCATTGGCTAGGATGATGAGACGCACGCCCTGAGGCACTGGCTAGGATGATGAGACACATGCCCTGAGGCACTTCCTAGGAGAAACGCCAGCATGACCGCCCTGATGTGCACCTAGCTTTGTCATTTTCCAATGTTTATGAAAGACCATTGGTATCTCAGTTCAGAGAGACTATGAAATCATTCAAAATAAATAACATTGTCGATAGTTCAGATAAAAGGCCATACAGCAGAAGTGAAGGCAGAGAATTTCAAAAATTGGGCCGGATGCTGATAAAAGGTGGCTAAGAAACAATAAGACATGATTAAAAATACAGTGCTTTTCTCAAGGCATAATTAGTTTAGAGACTAACCTGGACTTTGGGAACAAGAGGCATCTCCTTGATTTCATGTACAATCGTAGACTTTGCAGCAACAGCAGCCTAAAAAACCCAAGAATGATCAGCATTCTTCATAGACCCTAGCGAATGCTCATCTTTTGAAAACGAGCTAAACGGGACATATGGGAGTTGAAATGAAGGATAAGGGATTTTCAATTTTTTTTGGTTATAATATATAAAACCCACCAAAAACCCCAAAATCACAAGAGGCATCTCCCTTATAGGGTAAAGTTTTGGGGGGTTCCATAAATTTTTTAATTTTAACCCTAAACTTTCAAATATTCTAATCCAACCCCCATTTCGCATATTTAAAATATTATAACCATAAAAATAAAAAAATAAATGAAATCCCTTATCCTTCATTCAACTCTCTAATGCTTCCAGATAATGAAGTTGAAAAATGACACTAAATTACTTGAAAACTTCGCAGCTGCTCATCTTCTTCATCAGCCACTTGCTTCTCATATTCTCTCCTTGACTAAATGGATCAAAGAGTTAATGAAAACTATCAAAGGTATGATTCATGCATAAATACGTTTCTGTTACGTTCACACACACAGAGAGCCATGTACACATACACAAATGCATTGAACAATGAAGAGATCAACAAGTTAGAGAGTATCAAATAGTTATATCGGTATTTTCTTCTAATGCGAATAAATTGAAGCGTAATACCATTTTCTCGGGAATTGATCTGTCCATTGCAAAACAATAGTGGAATTCACCATCATTGAAATATTTTCACACAAAGATATCAAGAAGACACTAAGTAAGATTTTCCTTAACTAACAAGAAAAATAAGAGATTGAAATAAACATTCATATAAGTACGTAAAACCAAATTTCCATGTATGAACTATAAAAGAACGTAATCATTTTCTTTTGCAAAAAGAAGATAATCACTTTGGCACATAGAATTGTATAACTTTTACCTACACCAGATGGGAAGTGCCATACAAACCAACAAGGTAAGCCTTATCAAAAGGAAACAAGAGAGAAAGCTGACGAAAATACTGGACTTTATGGGTGTGTTTGGTATGAAGGAAAATGTTTTCCTGGAAAAAAGTAGATATTGACTTGCTTTCTCATGTTTGGTTGGTGAATAGAAAATATTTTCCGGAAAAATATTTTAGTGTTTTTTTTAAAACTGAAAAAAAAATATAATCAAACAGTTATATCGTGAGTGTTTGGTTTTTGAATGAAAAATGTTTTTGAGAAATATCTTTTATTTTTTACTAGAGTAGAAAATAAATTTTAAAAGTTGGATTCTTAAAAAAAAATAATATCAAAAAAATGAATTTTTGAAGTTGAAAATATTTTTAAAAACCAACTTAAATTAATTTTTTGGGATGGGGGTCGAGGGTAGGGGTGAAAAAATGAAATTTTGAAGTTGAAATTTTTTTTAAAAAAATAAACTAAAATTTCTTTAGGGGTAGGGGGGCTGGTTGGGGGTTGGGGGCTCGTAGGGGGGTGGGTTGGGGGCTGGTAAGGTGGGGAAGGTAGAGGGAGGTTGGAAGAGAGTTTTGGAAAATGTTTTCCTCAAGTTCTGGAGGAAAGTCATTTTCCTTAAATTTGAGTAAAATGAATTGATTTGGAAAACATTTGACCCAACCAAACATGAGAAAATTGGAAAACATTTTCATACCATACACACCCTATGTATGTGTACCAACACAACTAGGCCATAATCCTAACTATTAGTATCACCTACGAGAACTTTTACTTCTATGCTATTCTTTTCTTCAAAAAGTTCACATAGATTCAAGAGATTTATGTCTTTTAAGACAATTTCCCATCATGTTATCTCACGCTCTCGTCCCCTTTTAACATATTTAACCATTACAGTGTCGCAACTAAGGGCAAGTGCTTTTGGAGCTCTAGTACAGGATACGTAATACTCACGAAGCTAGCTTATTGCTTATCCCTAGGCTATAAGCATGAATGCTATACATCTCAAACAAACTTATTGTATTTTAATCCCAACTATTATTTCTGGTATCGTCTGTTGGATGAGATTGTTTCTAATTTTGTCTACTTCCGTCAATTGTATCTCCATCACAACCTCCACATACATACTACAATCAACAAATTTTAAAGAGTGAATCATTATCCATAAATAACCGTAATTTTGAACTTCTTCATATATGGGATCACATTGGGTATGTTGTTGTGTAACCGTAAGTTTGAACTCCTTGATCAGAGGGGTTCTCACTTGCAAAAGAACTATAAGGAACCTTAAGATGGAATAAGCTTTGAGATAGTTATTCATAACCCACCGCTCACGTAAACATTAAATCTTAACTTCGTCCATCAAATGAGCCCATGAAGCAAAATTGAACTTGCCCCACCAAATGTGAAAGAAAATCTGGAAATAATAAAGCATGTGTAGCTTATCTATTGTGGACAGGACATCATATCAGTGCCTCAGCAACAAATATTAGTGAATAACTATCTCAAAGCATGTGTAGATTATCTATTAGTTGCATCCCAAACAAATATAAATAACATACAGCAACAACTAACCATTTCAAGCTTCTCAAGAAACTCGGTCTCGTCCTCATCTAAGGCTTTGGGTGGTTCTGCAACAACATAAATAAGACCAATTGTAAGCAAATAGAGTAAGTAGAAAAATGAATAATCATAAGTCATTACACAAGAAACCAAGAAGAACAAGGGACCTCAATTACTCACGGTGTTTAAAGCGTTCATTAAATTCAGCATCTTTCTTGTCCTTGTTCTCCTTCAAGATCTGAGGTTTCAATGAAAATAGAACTCAAGCAGGAGAGTTTGAAAATTCAGTGCACATACATATCAGAGGGCAGAACATATGATCTAGAGCACCTTCACTTAAAAGATTGAAACTGGAATGGATAGTAAGTGAAAGGAAAACTAACAACAATAGTCTTGCTATTCAATCAGCCGAGCAAGAGATACACTTCACCTACAAGTTCAGTAGACTTGGTAGTTTTGACTCAACTCTGTATTTGTGTTCAAAAATCCACTTAATATGCATAAATAATTTATAAATAATCCCATAAGCTGCATTGTCTAGAATACAGAATTCATAAATTTAAAGTCCTAGCTACACCTTCGGAGATACGAATCACTAAAATGTATGCATTACTACCAAGTTAGGATATTTGCATACAGTATGCAAGTATCCCGATTCCCACAGGATAATTGCACTTTGTTGCTAAATTTTAGTGTATTCTGAAGAATTAAGACAAATTACCCAAGTATCCACACACATTTGACGCAGGTAAATGATATAAATGGGAGGCGAATGAAGTAACAAGAAATGAAGGGAGTTATTGGACCTCATAAAGAGGGCGATCTCTCTGAGCAGTTCCATCTTCAACCCGAGCACCCCGAGTTTTCTTGGATTCTGCCAACTACAAAACAAAAACTCGTTTAAGCAACATAACATTAACCCTCGTGTAGAGAGAGGTACGGGGTTCCGATACTACCTGTTCTTCGGAGACAAAATTCATCAACCTCACCGGAGGTGGAAAATCCTCGTCCGCCATTGTAGTTACACCGCTAAGTCGGAGTTCGAGTGCAGAGGTGAAGTGTGTATATTAGTAGCAATAGAGATGCTTTGAAGCAACTGTGTTTTCCCTCTTTCTTTTCCAATTTCAATCCCTAACTCGAAGGCCTATATTGGGAGCAGGGATAAAGTAATCTCGAATTAATTTACCACACTCAGTCAACTTTTATTTACACTTTTCAAAAAAAGTCAATCTTTTGATTTATTTTTATAATTATATTATATTAAATCAATTGATTTTGTAAATGAAAAAATTTAAATATTTAAAAATTTTACAAAAAGTATTATATATTGCAAATTTTTACATATCAATATGATAAAAAAAATTATCCTAAAATATTAATTAAAGTTTTTATAGTCTGCCTAAAACTATAAAGTATATGATTAATAGCGGATGGATGAAATAATTGATGAACTAAAATTACGAAATAATTTTCTTTAATTTTAAATTATAGTGTATTAGAAAATATTTATCTTGTACTCGATAATTATTGTAATTAAAATTAAATATATCTTGTACTCGATATATATATATATATATATATATATATACACACACACACACACTTAATTATAATTAGAAAAAGTTGTATTCTAACCTGATTTGTATTTTAAAAATTGTATTTTATAAGTTTGTCTAGAATTAGACACACGCACGCACACGCATAGTGCACAGCGCACACGCGCGCACGCACGCACACGCGCGCACACACACACATGAAAGAGAAAGAGACTTGGACAGAAAATTGTATAAAATGAAGTATAAAAACGAATTGTATAATTATAAGTGTATAAGACGATTATATACAATTTGAATTTGTATAAAACGATAAAGGAAGAAAGGCAAAAGAGACTTGGACATGGAATATACAATTGAATTGTATAAAACGAGAATGAGAGAAATTATGTACAATTTGAATTTGTATAAAACGAGAAAGAGAAGACAAAAGAGACTTGGGCAAGAAAGTACTTTTATTGTATAATTATATGTGTATAAGACATAGATATATGTATTTGCATGTGTAGATACAATTTTCTCTCGCTTTATACAATTAGAAACACAATTTATACAGTTCTATTGTATAAAACGAGAGAGGCGAGCGAAGGAAGCGAGCAAGAGAGGGAGAATGGCGAGCGAGAATATGAGGGAGAGAGGGACTGACAAACAGTTTGCTATGGAACACAAATAAATCAAAGGGTAGCTACTATATTTATTTTATATTGTTAGTTTGTCATTCTAAACAATGATCTCTATATAATTCATATTTGTATGCTATAGCAAAGTTTGCATAATTGTGCTCCGTAGCAAACATATATATGTATAATTCGTTATACATATACAATTGATGCGAATTGTATAAAGCGAGAAAGAAAAACAGGCTTGGGCAGAGAATTGTATAAAACAAAGTGTATAAAACGAGGCATACAAAACGAATTATATAATTATAAGTGTATAGGGCGATTATGTACAATTTGAATTTGTATAAAATGAGAAAGAGAGAAAGGCAAAAGAGTTGGGCAGGGAATATACAATTGAAACAAATTGTATAAAACGAGAAAGAGAGAAATTATATACAATTTGAATTTGTATAAAATGAGAAAGAGAGAAAGACAAAAGAGACTCGGGCAGGGGAGTACTTTTATTGTATAATTATAAGTGAATAAGATAAAAATATATGTATTTGCATGTGTATATACAATTTGCTCTCGCTTTATACAATTACAAACACAATTCATACAATTCTATTCAAAGCGAGCGAGAATATGAGGGAGAGAGGGAGTGACAAACAGTTTGCTATGGAACACAAATAAATCAGATGTAGCTGCTATATTTATTTTATCTTATTAGTTTGTCATTCTATACAATTATTCCAATATAATTATAGTCTGTTCTAGTTATGAATGTAACCAAATTTACTAGGATTTAAATAAAATTAATTATCAAGCTTCTTAATTTTAACAAAATAAAATAAATATCAATTAATTTTTAAGATGATTTTTAATTCATAAAATGCTACTATTTAATTATATATATAATTACATAAAAGCATACATTTATTTAAAAATCGTAAAAAGTGACAAAACCGTTTGAAGTTAAACTAAATCTAGCTGCAATTTTCTATACTTCTATACTACTTTAAGAGAACGTTTGGGTGGGAACAAGTTATCTCAGGAACAACTTAACCCACCACTATAATATAAATAGTGGAATAAATTATTCCAAACATGACAACCAAACAAGATAATTTTTCTTTATCCGATCAGTATCATTGATAAGCCCTCACACCAAACCATATGGTACTCCCTTATAATGCACGTATGACAAATATAGTAGGACAACTTTCACATATAGCAAACAAAAAATTCATATTTGTATGTTATAGCAAAATTTGTATAATTGCGCTCCATAGCAAACATAGAAACTGTATAATTCGCTATATATATACAATTGTATAATTCACTGGCCTAAATTGTATAATACGCTGGCCTATTTCGCTGCAATTGTATAATTCGCTATCCTATTTCACTGCAATTGTATAATTCACTGCCTATTTCGCTGCAATATTTGTATAAAATTTGCTTTGCATACAAATGAATCGAAGTAAAATGTATGTATATTGCAAATTATAAGTGTATAGGAAGAAGATATATGTTTTACTCTCGCTTTATACAAAAACAGAAACTTAATTTATACACTTCTGTTGTATAAAGCGAGAGAAAATTGTATATCACTGCAATTGTGTAATTCGCAATTGTATAATTCGTTAGCCTTTTTTGCTGCTATATTTGTATAAAATTTGCATTTGTCTACAATTGAATTGAAGTATAATGTCTGTAAATTGTATAATTAAGTGTATAGCACGAAAATATATATTTTAGCATGTGTATATACAATTTTCTCTCATTTTATACAAAACAGAAACACAATTTATACACTTCTGTGTATAAAGCGAGAGAGGCGAGCAGAGGGAGAGTGGCAAGTGAGAATGGGAGAGAGGGAACTGACAAACTTTGGCTAACGTTTGCTATGAAGCACAATTAAATCAAACCATAGCTACTCTATTTATTTTATGTTATTATATATAATTATCCCAATATAGTATATAATAAAAGGTTAGTAGGAAACATGCATCGAAGCCCACTACTCAGTTTGACAATATAGAATAGTGGAGAAAATTTGTGAAATCACTAAAGGGCGTCCAGATGAACCCCTTACGCTCACGCTACTTCACACTTGGACATCCTCTAAAGTCTAACCTAGATCCTTTATGTATAATCCCTTTTGTGTTATCTCAAGCCTACCAGAGAGTAAGATTTCCAAAAGCATTCCTTCGTCAAAATTGCACATAAACATAGCAGTAAAAGACCAGTAAATAAGATTCATACTTGAAAAATAACAGAAGAAGACAATTTCCAACAAGAAGTTGATTCTCTATATCGTTCCAATTTCATTCGGAGGGACAGCAAGAACTCTAAATCACTTCATGCATCTTTAAAGATTTAATCTAGCCATGCTTCATTTTCCTGCGAAGGAAAAAATATTTATTCTTGACACCTCCAACCGAACGTCCAATCCTTCTACTTAATTATCTGAGATGCATGTCAATGTCAGATAGCTGAACATCAATCTAGACCAAAAGGATGGAGAATTGGTTGGTTGAAGCTAAAAATAGCGGAGAAACGGATACACTTCCAGCGTGTAGTTCATGGGTGGTTTGGATAGAATGAAGTGTGTATTTGTCTACTAATTTTCTGGAGTAACATGAAAATGTGAATGATATAAAGCACTTCACTGGAATTCCCCAATTTCCTAAATGACTAAAGAGAGAGAAATGCTTGTAATCTTCTATATATGCCCAGAGCTTATATGGCACATATCAAAAAGGAACAAGTGTAGAACAAGAGGGGAGAGATCTTCAGCTAACAAGTACGTAGCAGACGAATTGCCATTTAGGGGCTCATTAAGGTTAGAAGATAGTTTAAAGCTAAGGAGCAAGGATGTACCTAAAAGAAGGGAGTTTACGGCCCTATGTATAGTGACTATTTAGGACGGAAGAAAAAGTCAAGGAATTCCAGGTATCAAAAAGAAGCAATGAAGTCTTTGAAGTAAGTACCACAGAAATATAATCACAATTCTACTTCCGAATTGGAACGATAATAGGTATTTATTAGCCGCTTACAATGCTGCTTCTACAAGGATTATTCTTGATAACCAGAAAACTTCTACAGCTTGTTTTTCCAGAGTACAGAACTCCATACAAACTAGTCAAACAACCTATCAATAAACTATTCGGAGGAATTCCTGCAAAACAAAACAAAAAAGGAATAAATAAAATTACCTACATAGCTTTCAATGTAGAAACTGATCAAATATCCAAATCCAATGAACTAAAAGCAGGTTATACAACTCAAAATAAATATGAAAATGAATCTTCACATGTACTACCATACCCAACTACATGAACTACAGAAATAGTCTTTTTGCTAAAACTTGGATTTTGCATGAGTAAACTATGTTCACAAAGTATTTTCTTCTTGTATCTAATGGAAATATAGTGTGAACACGTATCAAGAGAGAACCTCCTTGGGCAAGCTCCATATATGTACTTCTAAATTGTTCTCGGGGACGCAAAACCACCCAAATGCAGATGTTAGCAAAGACCAAAATGAGAAACCATTTGAAAACAAAGGCATTAGCTTTCCGTATCATCTACTGTACAGTGTAGACTGTGAACACATACATATCAAGAGAGAACCTACTTGAACAAGCTCAATATATGTACTTGTAAATCGTTCTTGGTGACACAAAACCACCCAAATGCAGATGTTTGCAAAGACCAAAAAGAGAAGACATTTGAGTACAAAGGCATTAGCTTTCTGTATCATCTACTGTAGACCAACAGAGGAAAAGAGAAATTTTGACAATGAAAAACATAAATTAGGGGGAGAAAGGGTTAAAGCAATGAATTGTAACGCCAGATATATGGTTGCTTCATTTAATCCTATGTCATATTATTAGATATGCATAGAAGAGATCATTGTTTCTCTTTTCTTTTCTTAAATTGGCTTCCTAATGCAACAGGCTACCCCACATCTTCTTTTTGTGAAACTGATAAGGTTGTATTCTTCTGCATTAAGGATATGCTGCTTACCTCCAGAAAGGGATAATTACAGATTTCCTATCAAATCTATAATTTAATCTATATCATTTATACAAAGTTGTTAACACCAAAGTAAAGATACTTTACAAATTACAATTCCATTTAACTTTGTGGATGGAATTGGACCTATCTTCGAACATCTTTCATTTCTCTCTCTCCAGACTGACCACCATACACATGATAGTTTAGCTTCCACAATCTCTTTTGACTCTTACTGCCTCCCCTCCTAATCCAGCAGCTCAACAGATCTGATGTATGTTCTTGCATTGTCCAGTTCATGCTTGTGATGTTGAGAAACACGTTTCAATGAAGGAAAAGATGGTTATTTGTTTCCGCTGTCAAGTTGCACAAGAAACACCCTGGGACCAGCTGCCTTTCATCTTTAGAACTTCTTGTGTTAGACATGCTCTTTTTATCACTAACCAGGTGAAGCACTTCACTTTTGTAGGAATACCAGAACAATATTTTGGGCCCCCTGCCATCCACTGTAGTCCAGTCCTCTTTTGTAGGCATTGTTGACTGAAAAGACTCCATCCTTACTCTGTTTCCACAGGATATTGTTTGTGGCTGTTGTTGTTACATTCACTCCAGCTGGTTTTTCCAGTACCGCTGCCATCCTCTCCACCTCCCAGTCATTAAGTAGTCATCTAAAAGATGTCCCATCCCTGTTCTGTCCAAGTCCAACAGTCACTCACTTTAGCATCAGGGTTCTCACAAATTAGAAACAAATCTGAAAAAATTCCCCAAGAGAGGTTTGATCTATCTAGCCATTTTTCCAAAATTTTAGTTTTGCTTCCATTGCCCACCTTGATATACATCTTTCCATCCATTTGTGACCATAGATTCCTGATTGGTCTCCATGCCCACACCCCATATGGTTCAGAGTCTACCCCCACATCTCAGGGATATCCATTCAGTTGGTTCAATTTCTCACCCTTAGTAGGTCCAGTTTCCAAAGTATCTGGTTATCCAGTTTCAAGAATTAAGATTGACCGAATCAGGGTCTGGTTTGGATAGGCTTTTACTAGTTCTGATTCTGAAATTTGAATTGGGCCAATTGGGCGCAAAGTTCTCCTTTTCTCCAATTTAACCCCCGACTCCACAAACCTTGTATCGGGCTGCCACTTGTTAAGCTGGATCCGACAACGATTTGCCCCTCTCCAATTCTACTAAGTGGATTCTTCTTGTCTAGAGCACACCTTGGGGTATCCATTCAGTTGGTTCAATTTCTAACCCTTAGTAGGTCCAGTTGCCAAAGTATCTGGTTCTCCAGTTTCAAGAATTAACATTGACCGAATCAGGGTTTGGTTTGGGTAGGGTTTTACTAATTCAACTGATTCTGAAATTTGAATTGGGCGCAAAGTTCTCCTTTTCTCCAATTTGGCCCCAGACTCCACAAACCTTGTATTGGGCTGCCACTTGTTAGGCTGGATCCGACAGAAATTTGCCCCTCTTTATCTCTACTAAGTGGATTCTTCTTGTCAATAGCACACACCTTGGGGTATATCTCAAATTAGGAGTTCAATAATAATCTAGAAAACAATTGTTTTATTTGTATACAATGAAAACCACATGGTCTTTTCATCAAAAAAATTATCCAATCCAAGATATGTTTGATGATTTACAAGTCAAAATATCTCATCATCATCCTCTCTTGCTCATCTACTGCAGTTTTGTAGAAGTCATCTTGAGAAGCACTTAAAACTCGGTGCAATGTAAGTTAGTCGTTTGGCCCCATCTGTGCCGCACTACAGTATATGCACCAAGAAGTAAGGACACACTTAATGCAAACAGATTATTTGAGGAAACACATTGAGTCTAACTCAATCTCAAAAGCTAGTTAATATGTGAGAAATATCAAAGATCATATCGGGACACAGCAATCATTCTCTCAACTATGTAAGGCATTTGAATCCCCGTATGCCTAGGGCTGAACATCTGAAGCATGACCATATGACATGGGGGACCACGTTAAATAAAACCTATAACATGAATTTGTTTTACTCTGTATATCAAAAAATATGAATGTACAATTCTAATACAACGATAAAAGCAAATTTTTATCCTAAATCAGCTTCAAAAGATAGCTCATAAGGTAAGGATTGACTGATACCATACAAGGAGAAAATAACATGTCCCAGCATATACACTAGAGAGATGACATGGATCATCTCTTACTGCATTCTACAAAGTATCACTCTTGTGCTGGAAGCTTTTAAGATGGTTCTGATACAAAGGACCATTCAAAAAAAGGGGAAGGATGCACTATTACTTGGGCCTTTACAGGAAAAGAGAAAAAGTAGATCGTGGATGTTGTTTTATAGCACTTACATAGATATTATGAGGTTAGAGAAAAGGAAGATCTTTGAAGGGGAAGAGCTTGTTTTAGTGCACAAAAAGCATAGCATCCCATCTTTAATGTCTTTTTGGTATATACCCATCAGGCTCTTATTTGTATAAAAGATTGGGTGACTTCCCTAGAGACTTCTGTCTTTCTGTAAATTCTCTATTTTTTGGTACCTCTTTTTTAGAATTAATACTGTTGTATTTCAGTGTTTTAAATATCCAAAGCAAAGACGCGACAAAATCGCTTAAAGTGAGAAGTGAAGTATGAGCTTACAATCAACAGGAAATTAAAAAATATCACAAAATCAACGAATCCAGTACATTTCATTTTCATCAAGAGAGTTTAGTACAATTGAGACTGTTTGGGATTAAAGCAACTTATTTCAGCATCCAGTATTGCCAATACCAATCCAACATCCTCAATGTTGAGACATAAACAAACTACCGATTCTTAATGAGATCACTTAGTACACAATTTTTTATTTTTTTTATTGACAAGGGAAACCTGCAGCCGCTATCCTTTGGGTGCGCAAGATTTAAAAAAAAAGAGACTACAGTTCATTACTCAACAGCGACATGAGACTTTAACGGAGCAAAACTAAGGAGACAACAGTCTAGCTCGTTTACTATTCCAGTAAAATCAAAATACTTCATATATAAGATATATAATTTAAATATAGGAACAAGAAGCTTCTCTTTTATGGTACACTGCTCTATCCTTGGAAGCATCATCTTGTTTAAATGATTAGAAAGAAATATGACACTATGCACATGACAATAAACATGAAGTACAGCACACAAACTTGTAGATATCTAGTGTGCACTTAATTAACAATCATGTGTTGGAAAAAGAATTGTACAAGCACAACGATACCTCTTATTCTGAGTGAAGCATCTTACAAGTTACTCCGTCTCGCACAAGCTGAAGAATTGCATCCTTCAACTTTATATAGTCATCAACCTTATTGTAAACCTGATGAGAAATCCGAGCATATCCTGTCACGTAGCCATCACCATCCTGTAATTCCTTTATTTCCTCGTAGTGAATTGGGACTTCCACCGCAAAATGGTCACGCAAATGATTTCTCAAATTTAAAGCATCCTTATCGCTGAGAATCTTAAGGTTAACAGGCAAACCAACCATTGCCATACCTGGAGACATGTCAGGGGGGCAGCCAAGCGATGTTCCCCAAGCATTGGCCAACATTTGTCCCATTTCAATCACAGCCTTATGATTCCTCAACCTAATTCCCTCAATCCCACCCTCAAACCTATTTATAAATTCTAACACCTCAGGTATAACTAGCTGAGAGCTGTAGTCTCTCGTCCCTATCCATGCACTTTCAATGGCTAGTCCATTACCATATTCATGCGACACCACAGGATGGTGTAGATCAGGTGATACAGGTGATTTCCGACAATACAAAAAGGCAACCGATGGAGGACAGAAAAACCACTTGTGCAAGTTGCTTACATAAAAATCAGCTCCAATTTCTTTAACATCGACAGGAACACTGCCAATGGCATGGGCAGCATCGACAAATACTCGTTCAACACCTTCTTCCCTACAAATCTTAACCAAATCACGCACAGGTATGACAACACACGGCATTGATGTAATGTGATCAATGATAGCCAACCGAACCTTCTTTCCATTCGCTTTCCCCTTAGCCAAGGCTTTCCGAAACTCCGCAACAATCTCTTCCTCCGAACGAAGAGGAAAGGGCAAATGAACAACGATCACAGAACCACCAGCCCGGGTGACATAAGCTTCAATCGATTTCTTAACAGCCTGAAACGCACAATGGAGCATGACTACAGCATCTCCTTTCTTAAACCGTCCCTCCGCGAAAGCCCATCCAACATGTTGAAGAACGATAGCAGCGGCAGTAGTAGCGTTATCCACAAGAGATACCTCATCCACGTGCTCCGCATTAATAACATCCTTGATAATAGTCCGTGAATGTAGAATCCGCTTCTGAAGATGGTTAAGGAAGAAGTCATCGGGTTGCTGTAGAAAACGGAGCTGCCAACGCTTCTGAGCTGCGATGATGGATGCCGGACAGCTACCGAAGCTGCCATTATTGATACGAGCTATCCCGGTCTGATGATGGGCGAACTCTTCACGTATTTCGGAATCCGTAATGAGAGAAGACGATCTGGTGGACAGCTTAGGTTTCTTAGCCAAATGACTGTGGTCGGAGCCATTAGCTCGGTGGTCATCGTCGTTCGCCGGTTCCATTTAGGATTAAAATTCAGATTAGGGTTAGGGTTAGGGTTTTGCCTCACCGGAAGTGATGAGCTATAGGATATGGAGGTAACTGACTCTGCTACACATTTCAAAAGGATTGTTTAATTATTTTATTATTTGACGATAGAGACGTCCCATTTTGGCAACACAGAAAGACCGCAAAATTGAAAAATCATTCAACGGTAGCACTACTTTTATTTTTGTTGATGTTACTAGTATATTTGTAAACTATTAAAATTTTAGCCAACTTGAAATTACAGTCCATATTTCAAGTATGAACTATCAAAGAAAAATATGTTTATGCTACATTATTTATCTAGATAAAGTTCGAAAGATATACAAAATCTCAAGAAAATAATTTCCGCTATCAAGAATGATGAGATGGAGGAATGACAAAAGGAGACGAAGAGGGCAAGAGATATAGGTGCGCACACGATTGTATAGAATTAATTTTAATTTTTCTCCTTGAATGACATATTATATTAGCATTTTATCGTAATTTGACAAATTCAAGTATTTATAATTGGGCATAAATTTCAATTTTAGAATCTCAACCCAAAAGTAACAATTTTTGTATCTCCAAATATTGTAACATGCAAGTAAAAACACAATGTTGAATTATACACTACCTTATGCTCTCCTCCCAAGGATTTTTAACATGGCAGCCAACCTGGAACTAAAGCACCACCTATAGGTAGAAATCCATTTTAGATTTTTTTTTTTCACTACCTCTCATAAGAAAAAGATACCACAAGGAAAATAATTGTATAGTACAAAATGACCATATCATTAGTGTACCAGATCATCTCCTAAAAGAAAATTATCATTGGCATAAAATAATAGCATAAGCTCCAGACCTCTTTTTGTGTTTTTGATATTTTTGAAGAATTCGAGCAACATAGACGAAGTTATCTTCAAGTCAAACATAAAAAAGTACAAGTTCATTAAAAAAATTGTCTGATAAAGCTATTAATCTCAAACATTTTCCTCACAAGCCACCGAAGGTAATGATCGTATACTTTTTATGAGCTTTTGAACTTCATCTTACTTCAGTCTTTTGAAACTCTATGGACCCAGTTGGCCCACACGGTCAAAACGATCCATTTTTAAGGTCAAATAAGCTTCGGAGGAGGTACACCCCCATTTTATCAATTTTCGCGTGCTATAGTTCACTATCTTTTTTGGTGATCTAGAATTCTGACGTTACTTTTTGCCAAATTTTTTCATCATCCATTAAGATCTTAGCTATGAACCCAGGTTGTCTATATGACCAAAAAAAATCCATTTTCAAGATCAAAATGAGCCCCGGAGCAGGTACACCCCCCCCCTCCCCATTTTACCTACTTTCGTGTGCTATGATTTATCACTTCTTTTTGCTGATCCTGAATTCCGATATTTTTTGCCAAAAATTTTCATGAATGTCCATTAAAACCTGAACTATGGACGCAGACGGCCAATAAAGCCAAAATGATCCATTTTCAAGGTCAAACAAGCCTCGGATCAGTGATCCAGAATTCCGACGTCAATTTTGTCAACATTTTTCATGGTCGCCCGTTAAGACATTAGTTATGGACCAAGTTGGCCCACACGATCAAAACGACCCATTTTAAAGGTCAAACAAACCCCGAAGCAGGTAGACTTCCCCCCCCCCCTCATTTTTGCCGATTTCGTGTGCCATTGTCCATGAATTTTTGATGATTTGGAATTACGAAATCATTTTTGCCAAAAATTTTCATTGACGTCCGTTAAGACCTTAGTTATGGACCAGTTTATCCACACAGTCAAAACAACCCATTTACAAGGTCAAACAAGCCCTCAAAGTAGGTACACCCTCTATTTTACTGATTTCATGTGCTATAGTCCATGGATTTTTTATGAACCGAAATTTCAATATCATTTTGCCAAAAATTTTATGGATGTATTTTAAGACCTTAGCTATAGATCCAATTGGCCCACACGATCAAAACGACCCATTTTCAATATCAAACGAGCCCTGAAGCACGTAACCCCCCCTCCCCCCCCAATTTTGATGATTTTCATGTCTATAGTTCATCATCTTTTTTGGTAATCCAGAATTCTGATTTTTTTTTGCCAAAATTTTTCATAGTTACCCTTTAGACCTTAGTTATGGACCCAATTTGTCCACATGACCAAACAATCCAATTTCAAGATTAAACGAGCCCCGGAGCAGGTGCACCCTCCATTTTGATGACTTGCATGTGCTATAGTTCACCATCTTTTTTGCTGATCCTGAATTCCTACTTTTTTTCCAAAAAATTGTATGAATGCCCATTAAGACCTTATCTATGGACTCAGTTGGCCAACACAACCAAAACGATTCATTTTCAAGATCAAACAAGCCTCAGAGCAGGTACACCCCTCTTCCATTTTACCGATTTTCATGTGTTATAATTAACCATCTTTTTTGGTAATCTAAAATTTCGATGTCATTTTGTGAATATTTTTCATGGGCGCTCTCTAAAACATTAGTTATGGACCAAGTTGGTCCACACGATCAAAACAATCCATTTTAAAAGTCAAACAAGGCCCGAAGCAAGTACGCCTCCCATTTTGCCGATTTTCGTGAGCTATAGTCCATGGAATTTTGATAATCCAAAAATACGAAATTATTTTGCCAAAATTTTTCGTAAGCGTCTGTTAAAACCTTAACTGTAGACCAGTTTATCCACACAACCAAAACAACCCATTTTCAAGGTCAAACAAGCTCCGAAGCAGGTAAACCCCCTATTTTGCCAATAATCTAGTGCTATTGTCCATGAAATTTTTGTGATTCGAAATTTCAAAATTATTTTGCCAAAATTTTTTATGAACGTACGTCAAGACCTTAGTTGTAGACCTAGTTGGCCCACACGACCAAAACTATCAATTTTCAAGGTCAAACAAGTCCTGAAGCAGGTACACCCCAATTTTGCCAATTTTCATGTGTTATAGTTCACCATCTTTTTTGGTGTACATGATTCCGACGTTTCTTTTGAAAAAAATTTTCATGGACGTCTGTTAAGACCTTATCTATGGACCCAATTGGCCCACACGGCCAAAACAACCCATTTTCAATGTCAAACGAGCCTCGAAGTAAGTAAATTCTCATTTTGCCAATTTTCATTTTGTATAGTTCATTATCTTTTTTGGTGATTCAAAATTCCGACATTTTTTTGCTAAAGTTTTTCATGAACGTCCGCTAAAATCTTAGTTATGCACTCAGTTTTTCCACATCTCGAAGTAGTTACATACACACACACCACATTTTGCCCAATTTTCGTGTGCTATTGTTCACTATCTTTTTTGGTGATTTGGAATTCCTAAATAATTTTACCAAATTTTTTCATGGACGTCCGTTAATACCTTAGCTATGGACCCATTTGGCCCACACGGCTTAAACGATCCATTTTCAAGGTCAACCAAGCCCCAAACATGTAAACCCCCAATTTTATCGATTTTTATTTGCTATAGTCCATTGATTTTTCATGATCTAGAATTACAAAATTATTATTTCCAAAAAATTTTATGGACGTTGGTTAAGACCTTAGGTAAGGCCTCAATTGGCCCACATAGCCAAATAATCCATTTTCAAGGTCAAACGAGCTCCAAAGCAGGCAAACCCCCCATATTATCGATTTTCGTGTGTTGTAGTTCACCATCTTTTTTGGTGATCCGAAATTCCAATATTTTTTTTCCAAAATTGTTCATCGACATCCGTATGACCATACCTATGGACCAAATTTGTCCACATCGCCAAAATGATCCATTTTCAAGGTCAACCGAGCACGAAACAGCCCTCCCCCCTCTTCAATTTTGCCGATTTATGTGTGCTATAGTTCAACATCTTTTTTGGTGATCCAAAATTTTGATATTTTTTTGCCAAAATTTTTCATGGACGTCCATTAAAACCTTTGCTATGGACCCAGTTTGTCCACACGATCAAAACTAACCATTTGCAAGGTTAAGCAAGCCACAGAGCTGGTACACCCCTATCCCCCTCAAACAATTTTGCTGATTTTCGTGTTCTATATTTCACTATCTTTTTTGGTGATCTTAAATTTTGATCTTTTTTTTTGTAAAAATATTTCATGGGCGTCCGCTAAGACCTTAGCTATAGAAACAATTGGCCCACACGCTAAAATAGCATGTTCAACTAAAGGTCCATTTTATGCATATTTTAATGGTTTCACATGGATTTGATACACTTTTATTGTAAAGGGCTAAGGTCCCTATTTGAGACTTTTATTTTGTACTTCAATGGTCGATGAGATGACGTCTAAACATTCTATTTTCTATTATGAAAGAGTTTGACATAGATTGTTTAAAAAGTTTTGAATTTCCGCATTATTTAATGTCTTATTCAATGATGGTTATGTTAAGACCATCTCCAACCCACCTATATTTTACTCTATGTTTTCTATACTTAGAGGGTAAAATAGAGAATGGGCTCTCCAACCCCTTTTCATTTTACTCTCTATCCTCCATTTATAAAGAGGTGAATATTAGTTCTCTAAATATTCTCTATACTTAAAGAGTAAAATGGAGAATGGGCTCTCCAACCCCTCTTCATATTACTCTCTATCCTCCATTTATAGAGAGAATAGATGTTCTCCAAATTTGGAGAACTATTATTCACCTCTCTATTTCACTTTTTGATTATTTTAATATTATTTCCATTGTATCATTAATTAAGTCTTATTATTTGTAATTAATTGTTTGATATAATATATCATGTAAAAACATATTATTGGCTAGTTACTATTTCATCCAAATTAATAATGTTCTATTTTTTTCTAAAAAAAGTGTCACTTAAAATATGTAATTTCAAATTCTTTTAATATTGTTTATACTATATGAGATTATTAATTAAGTTTTTAATAGTTGAATTATTATCTAAGTAGTATAACATCTAAAAAACATATTATTGATAAGTATACTATTTTCATCACGAATTAAAAAAAATTAAATTTGTTTAAAAAATTGTCACTTTAGAAATATTTAATTTAAAATTATAATTATTCATATGAAGGACACAAAATTTACATGATAATTCAAACAATCAACTTTTGTGTTATAGTGATAAATTATTACACTACACTTTTTAATGAGCATGAAAATACCTTTTGCAATAGTTCAAAATGGAACAGGGAGAAG